CTAATGAAGACTGAGAACCTTAGTGTGTGTGTGTGTGTGTGTGTGTGTGTGTGTGTGTGTGCGTGTAACGGTGAACTGTGAAGTGTGTAGATCAGCGATAGCGCTGTATCACTTATTGTTACGAGCTGAGTGTGTAAATGCAATAATCCAATCATCCAATCCGTACCCCGTCTAATAGTCACCCCTATACTTGAAAATTTTTAAAAGGCACATAGCATTTAGGAAAGTAGACGAGTCACTTGTCTGTTGAGAGAAAACTTGAAAGTTACTCCGAACCTGCTTTATTACGTTCAGAAACAAGTACAAATTCTGAGTCTTCTATCAGTGAATGAATTGTATACGGGTATAGTCTTTTAATGCCGGTCACGGTAGCCGAGCGGTCTAAGGCATGTACTGTCTTCGCTCGCTTGGAAACCGGGATCGTGGGTTCGAATCCTACTCAGGGCATGGATGTTTAATTTGTGTGTGTGTTTTTCTGTGTTTGTGTACAGGTAGAGGCCTTGCGATGAGCCGATCACCCGCCCAAGGAGTCCTACCGAATGTGTAAGATCTAGAAAAACTGAATGAACGGAGAAGTTCATGGAGGTAGGCCTAGGCCCACTGGGGCTGTAGTGCCAAGGGGGAAAATTTAGTTTTTAATAGTTTTTAAATAGAAGTCCTACAGTGATTTTTTTAAATTTATTTTCGTCAGCATTACTTACATCATTAAATTTTCCACTTCCTTGTGTTGTAAGTTTGTTTTCGTCTTTTAGGGCTATATTTTGCTCCAATAATCCGGATTTTGCAACATATCCATAATACTAGCAGGGACGTCTGCAGTGATAAATGCATAACTAACTAACTAACTAACTAACTTCACGGAAGTGAGCCCTTCTTGAGAAACCGTCAGTTGTGCAGCTACTCAAGAACTTCCCAGTATACGTATTATGGAACCCGAAGGTTCACTACCGTGTTCACAAGAGCCCTTCACTGGTCCCTGTCCTGAGCCAGATCAATCCAGTCCATACTACCCCATTCTATCTCTCTAAGATTCGTCTTAATATTATCTTCTCACCTACGTCTAGATCTTCCTAGTGGTTTCTTTCCTTCTGGCTTTCCCAGCAATATCCTATATGCATTCCTCTTTTCCCCATTCGTGCTACATGCTCTGTCCATTTCATCCTGTTTGACTTGATCATTCTGATTATACTTGGAGAAGAGTACAAGTTATGAAGCTCCTCATTATGCAGTTTTCTCTAGTCTCGCGTCACTAAATCTCTCCTCGGCCCAAATATTCCACTAATAAATGCATGTACTCTTAAAATGAAGACGAGAGCCTTATTGTGCTCCGTTCTGAAGGCACCCTCTAATATTTATCCTGCGCTTAGAGTTTCGTGCTTTTCCAGCTGGAAGTAACTGAGATCATGAGTTCTTTAGATGCTCAGTAAGGCTTCTTTTGAATAGAGGATTAGCCTGTCACGTAGGAATCGAACTCGCGATCACGGTTTCGTGCATACATTTACTCTGAAATATTTCTGGAGGAATGAATGCCGCTTATGCAACAGAGAGAGAGAGAGAGCCGAGCACTCTGTCCCCGCAGTCCGTTCCATGCAGATTTCAGGATAGTTTCAGGCCACATCCTACCAAATCCACCATCCATCAATCATCCTGCCAATTCACGTCATGCGACCTACGTGCGAAACGAGAGATATGTTGGAGATCTTGAGGTGAAGAAAAAAGAGAGTTGCGACGGGCTATTGAGAGTGCCGCTGGAACGCGAGCTGATGCTTGTGTGCAAAACTGTTCTTAGTTGTGTAAAAGGTAAAGTTTCCCTGTTCTTAACTAATAAAGCACTACGCCATGAAGGCGTATGGGGGAAGTGGATATATAGATATATCCACATATTCTTGATCTCGGCACTAGGTGTGAGTATTCAGCTTCACGCCCCGGCCGCTTTAACCCTAGAGAAAGAGCCCGCGATATCCATTAGATAGGAGGTTCCGTAAACCCCAGAGCCGGTCTGGACGACGTGGAGAAAAGAAAATTCTTGACCCTACCGGAACTCGAACTCTGACCCCTCGACCGTAAAGTCCGTAGCCAGTCGATATACCGACTGCGCTATTCCGGCTCTTCGCTTACGTTCATAGATTTTTATTTTTAATATTTTCGAATAATGAATGTTACTAGCACAGTAAATCCTCGTTATAACGCACTAATTGGGGTCGTTATCGGCGATGCCCGTTGTAACCGAGGGAAAGGGTTTTCACGGGAGTACACCATAGGGCACATAACGAGTACATGCAGTAAACATAGAAACAGAAAATGTGTTTGCATGAAGGTTTTTATATTGGGGTCATTTTTTTATATAGGTTTATAATTACGAAACCTTCTCAGAGCCTCAGCATCTCTATAAATTCACAGCTGGGTACAGCCAGATTTTGTCCGTTATATTAGGATGCGTTATAGCGAGTGTTTACAGTACTTGAAACACCACAAAATTTATGAGCCTTAAATATAAGAGGAGACAAGAAGAGAAGTAAATTTCTGTCATAGATGTAACCACCAAACCGGAGGGTGTAGCAGTAATGCTCTAAACTCGAATTCTTGAGGTGCTCGGTTCGATTCTCAGCCGTGACATTGACTAACTTGACTGAGGATTATCATGAATTTTCTAAGTTCCTGCAGGTAAATGACGGGAAATGTATTTCGATTTAGGTAACGTCCGTTTCCTTCCACATCCCTCCCAATTCACCTCTGATCTCCCATCCTTCCACTCGACGATATATTATACTTTAGCTACGGACGGCACCGTAAGGTAACCCGCGTGCGCATGCGCACAAAGAGACACGATGTTGCTCTCCAAGTTCGTATCTGGGAGTTTTTGATTCAAATGGCCCTGAGACTAACTGTGCTGACGGATTCTTCATGAATTTTCTCGGTACCTCCACTCAGACGGCAGGATAGTACTTTAAAATAGACCATGACCGCTTCCTGTCATATAATATTAAATTATTTATTTACTAATAATTTTTACGTAAGCTTGAAGAAAGTCCGAGCATATTCATAAGAGACAAACCCATCTGCTCGTCAGAGAGGATGTTACAGAAGGACCATTACCGCAAGGGTTCAGTTGAAAAGAAAATCTCTGATCGTGGGTCTCAAGGGGTTTGTCGCCAAGACGAACTGATTGGTGGTAAACCGCCAGTCGTAAAGTAACTCTGACTCTGGTTAATCATTTTGTAAATAGAAAGCTCTTTATTGGATTTAACTTTATGTAGCGAGCAGTAGAGCAGGTTAATCCTTGGTTTTATTGGACAGAACTTTATGTGACTGTGTAATCCAAGGAAGAAAAGAGTCAGGATCCTCTGGCACGCAAAGAAATGGGTATAAACCGTGACACGAGGCCGCTCTCGTTACGTAACGGCAGCTTAACCTTTCTAAATGCAGACCTGTGCGGCAAACCGCCCATGAAGAGGCCGACGTCTCCACCGGAGGCTTATGAAGTTGAACATGCTACAAGAACCTATTGTTTCACGCTATTGTCTTTAGAAGAAATGGCAGGACGGCGCCCCGGCACTCAAGAAAGCACCAAGTCGCCACCCAGAGCCACCTTGGCTCGACTAGAACACTGATACAGCGTTATTACTAACATTCCTTCCACTTGTGAGAGAGCTGGTCCCTCGTAACAACCGGGCGATTGTCAATTAACTCAACAATAAATTCTGTTCTATTCTACTCGTCAACGCAGTTCTCACTGCCAACCTTGACTTCACCATTTTGTATTCTGTTCACATGTTTTTCCCCGCTTTTCCTTTATATAAAAAATAATTTCCTACATATGTGAGGAATAATCTTTTTTTTTTCCTTGGCACTACAGCCCCAGTGGGCCTAGGCCTACCTCCATGAACTTCTCCGTTCACTTCGGTTTTTCTAGATCTTACACATACGGTAGGACTCCTTGTGCGAGTGATCAGCTCGTCGCAAGGCCTCTACCTGTAGATAAACACAGAAAAACGCACACAAACATCCATGCCCTGAGTGGAATTTGAACCCACGATCTCGGTTTCCAAGCGAGCGAAGACAGTACATGCCTTAGACCGCTCGGCTACCGTGACCGGCCGAATAATCTATTATTACCATTAATAAATTTCGTAATTATAATTATTCCCTGATAGTCTGGCAGTTTATTGTTTATAATTTCGCCTTCCAGTCTGCACTTCACCACAATCATCACGGAAGGTGGTTTAGGCAGTAATACTTCTGTCTTATACTTTGGAAGTGCTTGGTTCAAATCCCAGTTGGAACTTAAACAATTTTGACTGAGGGATTTCGTGGATGTCCTCAGACATTCCAGTAAAATTCCGTAATGGTAAACCTTAAAGTCACTATCACCTTCTTCAACGTCTTTTGTAACTTGTTCACTGGCATTCAGAAATCAGACACTAATAATATGAGTCACTGACAGCGTGGCTATGAACTACTGATATTCACCATGAACATGGGCGCCGGCAGGAGGGCGAGGCATATGCACCCTTCGATTTTTGGGAAAAAAAAAATGAAGAAATCCATAAAACGAAGGAATTGTACCAAATATCAATATCATAAATTAAAAATATTTTTAAATAAATTAGTCATCCACCCAAAATGCGGTCAGTAAGACCTAAACGACTTAAGCTTAAGTCTGTAAGCAAATTTTCAGGCTATCTACCCTTCGGGATACCGGCCGTCCCTCCTTGGATTTAAAAAAAAAATCAAAATTGAAAAGGAAATTAAATATAGCAAATGTTATTGTCAAAATTAAAATTATGTTCTAAAGAAATCATTCTCCTATTCTGAATCAGTAAAATTATTCTTAAATATCACCTATATAAGTTTGTAAACAAACTACCACGCTGGTCCCATCGGAGAAACTTCTCCCGTAACACATAACCACAAACCAGGAACACCATATAATTCGAGTTACTGGAGACGTCGTTAAGTAAAGCGAGACTAATGTAAGCTCATTATGACGTGTTGCCTACCTGCGGTTCCCGACGATGCAGCAGGGGTTGCGGCCGAAGGCTGAAGGTGTCCAGTGGGGTGGCGAAATGTGTCGTTACTTGTCGCGGGGTGAATATTTATAGTGACCGTGGTGTGGCCCTTCAGATAAATCAAGTGAGGTGCATCTGGCGCGAACAAGTGTTCCCACCAATGAGGACGCTGTGACGTAACCTTCTCCGCCCATCCTATTCAACAGGTTGCGGTGGCAACCGATATGTCGTGGTGCGTACCAACTTTACTGCGGGATTCAGAAATATACCTGTAAACGTATATGTAAAACTATCCCTATAACTGGCCGTGGAGGCCCATAGGGTTGTGAGACGTCGAGGCTCCCACATTTTCTAGACAATCGGCTAACAGATGGCGGTGACGTTGCCAGCCTTACGCGCCGGCCGCCCTTTACCCCCTGGAAGATACCTGGTACTCATTTCTATTAGAGGCTGAGTCGACCCTAGGATCATAGTGCGGCTGGAAGGATTAGGCCAACCGAAAAATGCAGTGACCTCATCGGGAATCGAACCCGCGAACTTCCGAACTGTAGCATAGTGCCTCAACCGACTACGCTACCGCGTCATAAAGAGAGTAATTTTGTTTTTGTTTTAACTGTTATGAAACGTTGCCTACTACTCTGGGGGATGATAATATATGTACGTAGAGATGTTATATATACATAAGGTTAGCTTAAGACAAACGGGGTTCGCGTCCTGGCAGGGACAAGATTTTTCTCTTCTCTGCAACGTCCAGACCGGCTCTGTGACCCACTCAGCCTCCTGTCCAATATATACAGAGACTAAAGCAGCCGGTACGTGAAGCTGACGGCTCGTCTTCCACCTAGTGCCGAGGTAGAGAATGATGGAACCGTACCTCCACTCTCCCATACGTCTTCATGGCATAGTGCTTAATTAGTTAATCCTGGGAAGAGCGTTACCTTTTTTTGAGGTTAGCTCAGGGCCGGTTCTTGCGGACACGGCAGTGGAATTGCCGAGAGTAACCGACAGACTGTCAGCTTCTCAACAAGGACTCGACTGGCGATATTTCTTTCCTTTGAATTTTTAGGTAAGTTCTTTGTGATCTTCAAGACCGATATATTTATTAAAATTGCTCCACGAAGCTATTCATACGTAAAGTACAAATCGTTCCCGTGCTTTAATACACGCCATGAGATCATAAGGAAGAGTGGAGGTAAAATCCCACATATTCTTAATCTTTATATTACTGGAGATGAGTGGTCACGCTCCGGCCGATTTAGTCCTGAGGACAGAGCCCAAGACTCCCCGTGGAGTGATCTGAGTTCCACTGCTTATCTGGCTAAACTTCTATGCCTGTCTGGAATTGCTTTTCCGCCTTGGAGCTCTTAACAAGTCACGTTTCTGACTGAGCTATGTAAATCGGTAGCAACTACGGATCTAAAAAATTCTGTCTTCTGGGACATAAAGCCCTGTAGCCCGTTGAATCTCAACGGACGTTTGGGAGGAATATATGGCCTCCATCTTCACGGTCGAGGAATAAACCAAGCAAGAAACCAGCCTGGCTTATTATTCGAGCCTGAAGATGGAGGTAACGTGTTCCTCCGAAACGTCCTTTGAGTTTCAACGGACTGCACGGTATTATATCCCACAATATCGAAGTATCATAATCACTGCTATGACAACCATGTACCCTACAAATGCGGATTTTGTGTGAGATGTCACCGAGACAGTTGGCTGAAGCATTGTGGAGGTGCCTGGTTAACACCTCAGCCTGGACACCAACTGTCTTGAGGGTTTTCGTGGTTTTTCTCAAGCTCTCCTTGCAGATGCCGAGATAATACGTTAAAGTAGGTCAGTGTCGTTTTTTCCACATACATTTCCGATTAATTGTTGTGTAACCATTCTACTATCCGTCGCGCTATAGTCTGAGGTGCAGATGGCATCGTTTATGAAATAAATTAAATTTGATGTTTTTATGGCGGTGTGGAGTGAAGTTAAGGGACCTTGCATTCTTGCAGATGGTCTCAAAATTCTTGAAGGAATATGTTGTATCTACAGAAGAGAAATTGGAGCCAACTTTTACCTTGAAGATTGAGGCAGTATGTCCTCCGAAACGTTGATAACCACATACCAGACTTCAGAAGATTACACCCTCAATCTATACCTCTGTCAAAACAGCAGACCTCATTGATATCCGTTAAAAATTACGCGGAATGGATCAGAGGACCACAACCTTTGTTCTACGCAACAGTAAGAAATCTTATTTAAATATGATCAGTTTGGAAGGTGAAACGTGCGAACGGACAGACAGATGCGGCCCGTTTATTATCAGCTAACTTGACTCATGCCTATTTATTACTACACATGAAAACGTATAATATTCAACCGGTTTGTAGCACGGTGGTTACTATAAGCCGTTCGTACTGCCTGTTCTACAGTTCAGAAACCCTACATTCTGCCCACACACACTGTATTTATGAGTTTCGAATGTTTTTCACAATAAACGGTGTTTATTTTCCTAAACAATATTAGCCTGTTGGTCTTCGTAATGGAGACGTTAATTTTTTCTGTGAGATAGGAACAGGATTTTTTGAATAGGTAAATTTCACTTTTCAGAAAGTTATACATAGCATTCAGTTCCATATGTGTCCCTGCGAGGGATGTAAGTATTTCTCACGCACCTAACAAATGAAGCCCCGAGGCCAGATGCTGATTGGAACAGCTGTTCGGTCATCAGTGTGTGGGTTAATTGGTGTTTATGCATTGTGTGTGTTCCTCCAAACCAGCTGTTGGCGCCAGCGGGATAAATTCAGGGCAACGAGTTCAAAAAGTAATGATTAAAATAAACAATATTTTGTTTCAGCGGTTACAGTTTCTGTAAGTACAGTAAACTGTCCCTGCAATTATTATACCTCAGTTAGCCCACGGACGGATACAATCTGGCCCTCGCTAGGGACGTCAGGGTCACGGAATTACACTCTTAAAGACATTCTAAAACATGATTATACAATTCATTTCAGGGTCCATAATTTCGTCCTTACCGAAATTCGGAAGGAAAGAGGTTAAGTTGTCCCCTTGCTTAATTAATTAAGCACCACACCATGAAGGGTATATGGGAATGGAGGCGTATTTCCATCATTCTTAGCCTCGGAACAATATGGAAGTGAATGGTTAGCTTCACGTCACTGCCGCGTTTCCTCCTGGGAAAGAGCCGTCGGTACTGGTTGTACAGGAGGCTAGGTGGGCCTTAGGGCCGGTCTGGACGCTGTGAAATAGAGAAAAATCCCCCCCCCCGATGGGAACTGAACACAGGCCGCCCGGCCCATAGACCGTCTTTATCGTCTTTATACTGGCTACTACAACAAAATGAAGCTCAGTCTGTCTTGTAATTTTATAAGAAATTCAGATGACATGCGCATGCGTCGCTGACATAGCAGTCCATGTAGCTCGTCATTGGCTATCCTATGCGCATGAGCCAGTAACGTAGGGAGTTGGTAGAAGAGCAGTAAATTGTTGCTAGTAGCTTCGTTGATATTCCTGTCTTATTTTAGATCTTGCATTGTCCATATTTAATATTCACGGAGAGAGGCTGTCACGTTGCAAGTGCAAACAGTAGGCCTGAGATAAGAAAGCATTCTGATGTGTTAACTTTATTGTAGGTACGGACAGAAACAATTTTTCGTAGGAGCGCATCTCTACATCGTATTTATAACATGACAGTCGGGCCGTACCATAGCTGAGACGGTTAATCGCTGACATCCCACCGTGGCGTACCATGCTCAATCCCAGTTCGCATAGTTTGCGATATGTGTTGGACAAAGTGGCACTGGGGAGGTTCCAATTCTTATTTCATCATCTGCTTCGTATTCATCCTGTCATCCAACGCTATAGCCTACATATTGACAGTGTCGTTAGGTAATTAAATCAAAACATGGACGTGAAACGAAAAGTAGTTTCGTTTGAATTATACATGATCAGGTTTCTTTTTCCTTTTAATAAAGTTCCTATAACTTATGCCAGACAATATGTAAAGAATTCAGTTTTTGAGAAACAGTTATGATTCGGATCAGCAAAATTTTCCTTGACAGCTGAACAGAGAATACTTATTTTTGTTACTTATTCACTTGAATTTTCTCCTTGCATGTTCACAATTCAGTCACAATATCCAGTACTGAAAAGTACAGAATACAGGTTTCAGGAACCTCGTCTAAATAATAATTTTTCATATTGATACGATATTGTGGAGTGACTATAGACGAGGTTTGGATCGGTAATTGGATTTATTGAACACTTACAGACCGTAAGTACAAATAACTACAGCGCTATTGCTGATTCAGACAATCTGCAGTTCACTATAGCACGTACAAAGTCCTCCCAGTCTGCTCTGTCTTCACAAGTCGTTGCCTGGTGACGGATTCCAACAATATCCTCTACTTCCGTGTTCACGTTCCCACCGGCAACTGTTCTACAAATAACTAAACTCTAGACTTGTCATCCTTATAACACCTCGGCACTGGCCGCATAGAAAACACCTTTCCCAACAGTTCTTCTATTGACAAACCCATTTTCTCTTCAGAGAGGATATTACGTAAGGATTATGACCGCAAAGGTTCAGTTGAAAAAATCTCTGGTCGTGAGTCTCAAGGGGCTTGGTGCCAAAACGAACTGAATGGCGGTAAACCGCCAGCCGTAAAGTAACTTTGACCTTGAGAGAGACTATTGGTTTCGGAAACACTTACCAGCAGAATTAATATTAACCTGCAATGAGCACGTGCTAGATTCTGTCGGCGTACTGTGTTACCGCACTCTCACGCAGCAGCATAACGATTTTATTGTTTACGAAGATATTTATGGTCTTAAACGACAATTTCAGTAGCTCGTGATGTATTGTAGGTGTTGGACGGCTAGTAGATCAGCCGAGCAAGTTCGCGTAGCGGTAAAGCTCTAAGCTTGGGCTCTCTTGGTACTCGGCTCGAATACCGGCATGCATTCCGGCAGTCCTGACTGAGATTATTCGTGTTTGACCTAAATATCTCTAGGTGAATGCTGGGATAGTACCTCGATCATACCACTACCGCTTTCTTCCAAATCATCAACACTTCATCTTCCATCAGTCACTCTACCATCGGACGCTATATAGTCTGCATAATGAGAGCGC